GACATATGAGCTTATATTTCCTGGATGCAATACTTGATTTTCAGATTCATCGAAGCGATCCATTTTAGGCTGGTTTTTGATGGAGACAAGGGGAGGAGACAGCATGGCAATATTAGCAACTCTGCCATGTCTAGTGCAATTGGAGAAATATCTAAAACACGAAGACTTGCTTAGAGGGATGCCTGAAAACGAGTACTTCAAGTCTCATATATCGCCATCCATCAAAAGATTACCAAGATGCGCTCTGGCCGGTGTGGCTCAGTGGATAGAGCGCCGGCCTGCGGACTGAAGGGTCTGGGGTTTGACTCTGGTGGTGGGCTCGATCCCCAGTAGGGGGCGTGCAGGAGGCAGCCGATCCATGATTCTCTCTCCGCATGGATGTTTCTCTCTCTCCCTCTCCCTTCCTCTCTGACATCAATCAAAAGAAATATATTTTTTAAAAAGAAGAGAAAATGAATAGAGACACTAGTAGGTACAGCAGGTAAGACCTAATCCACCAAACTCTTCCTCGTCTTCCTTTGCCATCTCTCTTCCCCTCCGCTTGGATGAGGACAGGAAGTGACATGGAGCAGGGGACTTACCCTCAGGGCCATTTTCTTTAGAAATGCAACAGAAGCGACTGCTAATAAAACGGCCAGGTGTATATGACACAGGAGTCTCTAAACCTCCTTGCAATTCAGGTAGTTGTTCCCCGGCGCACAGGCGTATATGGTTTGTAGCTGTGCTGATGTGATCTCCTAAATTAGTTTTAGAATTCTATCATCAGATGCTTTATTTTCTGAAAACTTTATATACTCTTGGCTTTTCAAAGAACTTGTAAAAAAAAAAAAGGTAGGCTCGGAAGCATAATATGAACCGAACTTGGCTGATGCGAAGATGGTGAAATTCAACATCGGCCTGTCCCTCCAGGTTTTCCCTCATCGCATCCAAGGTCAAAGTTACTCCCCTTCCCCAAGCCTGCTACTTTCCCGGCTGCTTTCCCACTGCCACCTCGGAGGGCATTCCGATTCTATGACTGCCACCAGTGCTTTTTGGTGGGTGTTTCTAGAAGACACGACCCGCCTGCTGCATTCAAGCCCATAGGACACGACAAAGGTCAAAGGTGAAGCACAAGCATTGATTAGGCCCATGGAGGTCTTGCCATTAGACCTTTCTTACAAAGCTAATCATTTTTCACTCTGGCTGGTGTGGTTCAGTGGGTAAGGTGTCAGCCTGCGGACAGAAGGGTCCTGGGTTTGATTCTGGTCAAGGGCACAGGCCCGGGTTGCGGGCTCCATCCCCAGTGAGGGGCGGGCAGGAGGCAGCCGATCCATGGTTCTCTCTCATCATGGATGTTTCTCTCCCTCTCCCTCTCCCTTCCTCTCTGACATCAATACAAATATTTGAAAAAAGCGAACGATTTTTCTGGACTATCCCACATTTCCGACCGGCTGGGAAATGTGCCCAGGGGTGCTGAGAAACCAGCTCTCAGGGGCAAGTAGAGGTTCTTCACACCCGGCTGAGGGCAGGATGGCCGTGGCCAGACCCCACATCCTGCAGCGGCCGGGGCGCTCAGCGGCCCGGAGACCACAGCTTTGAGCTCACAGCTGTGCTTCCTCCCGGAGGCACCACTGGCCTGGGGTGCGCTGAACTGGCCGCAGGCAAGCTTCGATGCCCCCCGCCCCCCCCCCCCCCCCCCCGAATTGGAGGAATAACGATCTTTGGCATTTTTTAAATTTAAACTATACAGGTAGGGACATTGTTAGTAACTTCATTAGGGTCTTCCTAAGGCTTAGGAAGAGCCACACTCAAGGGGCCAAAGAGCTGCCTGTGGCTCGTGAGCCGCAGTTTGCCGACCACGGGTCTAGTTGAAGCACAAACATTCAGGTATAACGGAGTTGTCTTGTGCCTGCTGGGTTCTAGCTTTCCCCCCACCTCCGTCCCCCCATTTTTGTTAATCTTCATCTGAGGATATTTTCCTATTGATTCTTAGGAAGAGGGAGAGACAGAGAGAAACACTGATGCGAGAGAAATACATTGATGGGTTGCCTCCTGCACATGCCCCGACCAAGGCTCCAGCCAGGGAGCAGCCTGCAACTGAGGTACGTGGCCTTGACCGGAATCGAACCCGGGACCCTTCAGTCTGCAGGCTGACAATCTATCTACTGAGCCACACCCGCTAGGGCTACTTTATTTTTTTAAATATATTTGTATTGATTTCAGAGAGGAAGGGAGAGGGAGAGAGATGGAAACAGCCATGATGAGAGAGAATCATGGATTGGCTGCCTCCTGCATGCCCCACACTGGGGATCGAGCCCGCAACCCAGGCATGTCACCTGACAGGGAATCAAACGGCGATCTCCTGGTTCATGGGTCAGTGCTCAACCACTGAGCCACACGGGCCGGGCTGGGCCTCACTTGTTTATCCTTGTCTGTGAAATCATCTGTGGGTGGCTTATTGCAATTCATCCTTATCAAGAATAAGGATGACAAAACTCAGTTTCCTTACCTAATAGCTTCTGTAGATAAGAAAACTGATTTTACAGACAAGTTGGTATGAATATTTGATTGGGTCCATACGGAGTGGTTCCCTCTACCACTGGGTGGTGTAAAACTAACTAGCCACGGGGCTCAAACCTTTGAACTTCAATCAAGCATGCTAGTCAAGCTAGCTGAGGTGTCACTGGGGCATAAGAGAATCACATGGAAGTACAGTATATATATGGTCCACCAACTTCCTCCCACTCTCTCACTGCAGAAACAGAGAAATTAGTTGTCTTTTGGGTGGGAAAGGTAGTTGCTACGTTTGCTACAGCTACTGGATTGCTACAACAGTGTTTATTTCCTTTTTTCCCCACTGTCGTCAGTGTCGTGCGAGAATCTCTTCACACTGACATACACGGCCGGGCACCGAAGGTGTGATGAGCAGAGAGGCTGAGCCTGAAGTTTAGCATCACTGCCCTGAACAACGGAGCCTCGCTTGCATTAGCTGCTTGTGCAGGTAAGGGAGCTGGTCAGCAGTCATTATGTAGATGATCATTAGTAACTGAACTTAGACTTGTAGAACCTTTTTCATCTGTCAAATCAGCTGAGACCCAATGTGTGCACGACTCAAGGCAGTCAGCATACTGAGGGGAATGCAGGCTTGGAGAGATCGTTTTGGAGAACAATTCTGTGTGTGTGTGTGTGTGTGTGTGTGTGTGTGTGTGTGTGTGTGTGTGTGTAGTGATTTTTCTTTGATTTCTTAAGCCTAATACTATTTTCCAAATTTTAGAAACGAATTATCCAGTACTTTTAGAATCCAAGTTTATTTTGAAAGGAGATGTACATAGTAGACACAAGTCTGATGTTTGGGAAGCTGAAGATGTGAACTAGTTGTCATTTGTTACACTGAAGTTCAGTGTCAATGTCATTCCTCTCATAGCGGTTGACTCTGTGGAAGGCTCTTTACCTCCCTTCTGTTCTGAAGCATTTGCTAGCGTGAAACAGAACAAGGCGATGGTAAGGAGTAAGATTTCAGATTGTAGTATAGAATGTATTATGTATACAAAGCAGGGGGCTAGTGTGTTCCTTTCATATCATCATAAAAAAGGTCCATTTCTTCTGGAAAATAAAAACGACTTTGATCAGATCAATTTTCCTTAAGAAAGAAACTGGCTTAGTTCACTTTCCACTTGCCTGATGTGCTACAGTTTAGGTTTTAGATATTTACAAGCAGATATGATACACTAACTGCAAGCAGATTCCGATTTGCCAGGTGGAGTGGATTCAAACACACTAACTGTGCGGCACATGGACTATTTCCTGAGGAAAAACGACAAAGAAATAGAACAGAATGACAGAGACACGGTAGACATTAATGAAGGGTCTCAGGTTTTCAAGTCTTTAGGTGGGTCTTGTTTGGTATAAAAATTATTTCAAAATTGTCATAGGGATTTTTTTCAAATATACTGTTTCTGCAATCCAAGAGGCAAAAATATAAGCATGATTCTGAAGCGAGATAGAGAACAAGCAGCCCCGAGGGGCCGGGGGCATATGAGAATCTCAGAAGGCAATGTATGGTCAACGTTTTGTGTTTAGCCAAAGAGCGGATAGGATTCTAAAAATAAGATTGAGAATCCTCACTCTAGGTTAGAAAAGAATAGAGAATGTGGTTCCTAGAAAGTTATGGTGAAAAATTCAAGAAATGTGGCACATTCTGAGAAATCTCATGATTCTTATTTGACCAGAACCCAAGAACTTCTATTATTCTCCCCTGAAAGAAATGAGGACAGGAGAAAAATAAGAATGACAAGGAGTTTTTATGTGGCTTTTCAACCCTTTATGTGTACCCTTTAAATAAAGATTTAAAAATAAGACAGAAAAGCAAACGCCACACCTGCATTTCTGCTGGGATTAAAATAACTTCTAAGAAACCTCTTCTCTGAAAAACCAGATACTCAATTACACACACAGACACGTGAGGGCGCTCTAACCAACAAGCACAGCAGCTACAGTTTTGACAGAATTTGAAAGTAAACTTCGTATTAAAGTAGGACTGTTTAGCGTTAGTATTTGAAATAAATTATTGATGGCCTTTGGTAAAGATCCTGGGATTTTGGTGTTTATCCTTGGTTACTATACTTTCCATCTGTGCAAATCAGGATCTTGCCCGAGTGCCTGTTTCTGTGGAATTAAGTTTGCTTCTGAAATAGGAAAAGAGACTCTTCTAATAGTATTAGATTTTAGAGAAGTGCTTTAATCCAGCCACGGAAAGACACCATTTTGAACAGTATTTATGTACAATGAATGCGGTGATTACAGATCAGTCTTCTCTCCATGCTTTGGCAACAGGTTCCTTTGGCCAGTGTGTGTATGGCTTGAAAGTGCCTTAAAATTATAAAAAAGTACCTTTCTAGGAAGAGAAATCAATTGTCATTTACAAACTGCTTTAGAGTCTAATAGAAGAACTATAAAGCCCTCTAGTAAAAGTGACAAAACTCAGGCATTTAACTATGTTTATCGAATTTTGTTTTTTTAGACAAAGGCGCTTTCCGCATCAACTTTTGCTTTTATTTCACCTGCACAATTGGGATCGGAAAAGGTGAGAAGGCATCTACACGTTCCCTTTCCATCCAACACATCCATGTCGCTATTTCGCCCAATTTTTAAAAACCGTTCACCTTAAATACCATTTATAATTTTAAATATTTAACATGGCGGGGGGAGGTGGAAGAAGGTGTAGGGCAGATACATGTTTTAAAAACACCTGCAATTCTGTTCTAGCTCCTGTGACAAAGTCAAGAAAAGCTGACCTAAATGAGTAACCACTCAGCCGGGACATGTATCCGGCCCTCCCCGATCTCCTCCGTGGCCCTGCCAATCCTTTACAGCTTCCTCTGTGTCGTCGGTCTCTTCGGCAATTCTCTCTCTCAATGGGTGTTTTTAACCAAAATAGGCAAGAAAACCTCCACTCACATCTACCTGGCGCATCTCGTGACGGCGAACTTACTCGTGTGCAGCACCATGCCCTTCATGGGGATGTATTTCCTGAAGGGTTTCCAATGGGAGTATCGATCGGCCCAGTGCAGGGTGGTCAATTTCCTGGGGACGCTCCCCATGCATGTCAGTATGTTTGTCAGCCTCCTGATTTTAAGCTGGATCGCCATCAGCCGCTATGCTACCCTGATGAAAAAGGAGTCCACGCCCGAGACCACTTCGTGCTATGAGAAGATATTTTACGGCCATTTACTGAAAAAGTTCCGCCAGCCCAACTTCGCTAAAAAGCTCTGCGTGTACATCTGGGGCGGCGTGCTGGGCACCATCATCCCGGTGATCATCTACTACTCCGTGGTGGAGGCCACGGAGGGGGAGGAGACCCTGTGCTATAACCGGAAGATGGAACTCGGAGCCATGATCTCGCAGATCGCGGGCCTCATCGGGACCACGTTTATCGGATTTTCGTTTTTAGTCGTCCTCACGTCATACTACTCTTTTGTGAGCCACCTGAGAAAGATCAGGACCTGTACGTCCATCACGGAGAGACCTCTCATGTACAGTTCCGTGAGGAGGCATCTGCTGGTCATCCAGATCCTACTGATTGTCTGTTTCCTCCCCTACAGCATCTTTAAGCCCATTTTCTATGTGCTCCACCAAACGGTGAGCTGTGAGCAACTCAATTATTTGATAGAAATCAAAAACATCCTCACCTGTCTCGCCTCAGCCAGAAGCAGCACCGACCCCATTATATTTCTTTTTTTAGATAAGACGTTCAAGAAGATACTGTATGATCTCGTCACAAAATCTGAACCCACGCCTACCCAACCCTATGGCTGACTTTTGAGGGGGAAAGCCCACCACCTAGAAAAGCACTCAGATGACTATAAAACGACATGGTCAACGGGCCATCACGCGGTGGGTAACAGGCACCGAGAAGACCTCTTTGGTTTAAAAAGTGACCAGAAAAGTCACTTTACAGTTCAACTTGTACTGAAGGCTGAGAGGACAGAGACCTTCAGAGGCAAAAGTAAGCGCATTGAAAGGATCCCGCTGCACAGGAAACCAACAGACCATTTTCTATGCAAAGTCAGCCACAGGGGCTCCTATTCGGGACACAGTGCTTCATGGCAGTAGGACCAGGAAGCCAAAGGTGTGGACTTTTCAAATACAAGCGTCCATCTGTGGAGACTGTTTTGTTGGGGACTTTGAAGACAAGAAAAGAAAAAGTGGATACGAAATTTCCTCATTTAAGTCCTATCTAAATGTGTGAATGATACAGTGTAAGAATTCAAGGTATGAAGCACACTATTTGGTATTATGTGGCTTAGGATACTAGGAGAAGCAACATTCATTGATTCTAGTATTTCTCAAGCAGATGTTATTTGTAACTCTGCTTAAATATTTGGATTAGACTTTGTCACAATAAAAAGCGAATACAATGCCATTCTATGCCAATCTGGATCACATTCTGTATAGTTTCCTCTGCATTTTATATAATGTTGTTATTGATGACAAATAGAACCGGGCATGTAGATATGTTCAATTAATTTTGGTGAAATGAGTGAACCAATGATAAGGCAGTACAATCGCATTACTGTTCAGAGATTGGTCTCTGCAGTTGGAGTCCTTGGGCTCAATCCTAGCTCCACCTCACCCTGGTTAAGTGTTAATTTCCTCATTTGTAGAATGGAAAAGGACCGCACAGTTCATAGGCACTATTATTAAATCAGATGTTACTATCATGAGTAGCTACCATTTACTAAGCACTTGCTATGTGTCAGGCATTCTTCTTACACGCTTTATAAGTATTATGTCAATGATCACAACCCTAGAGTATGTCAATTTACTGATTGAAAACTGAAGTGCATGGGTAAGTTGCCCAATATTCTAAGCAAATATTTAAAGAGTAAGCATTTCTTAATGGTCACTTCTTTCTTCCATGCAATAGTCAGTAAGACAAATGATGGTGACTCTATTCCGTATTATATACATTATAATAATAATTTGTAAAAATGTGTGGTTTATCTTCCCAAAGAGATCATGACCACCTTTGGCGCTATAGTGTGTTTTCTATTTCTACTCCCATGGTCCTTGCATTCTCTGCTCAGATAAGAACCAAACAAAAACAGCTGAATAAAAATAAAGTTGAATAAATATTCATTGAAACCTGTTACTTAGAGACTTAAAGCGTCATTTATTCTGTCCATGGCAGTTCCTTCAGGTCACACAGCACTTCCCAAAGCCTTCACACTGACAGCAGGTTTGGGTCCATGAATTAAAAATGTAGAAGGAATTCACTCTTCAGATGCCCCACGGGCCAGGTGATCAATACCACTGCAGCAGTTCTCAACCTGTGGGTCGCGACCCCTTTGGCGGTTGAACGACCCTCTCACAGGGGTCGCCTAAGACCATCCTGCAGATCAGATATTTCCATGACGATTCATCACAGTAGCAACATGACAGGAAGTAGCAATGAAAATAATGTTATGGTTGGGTCACAACATGAGGAACTGTATTTAAAGGGCCAGAAGGTTGAGAACCACTGCACTAGAGGTTTCCCTAACACATCTGCATGATTTTAATGTAAAAAGAATAGAAAACAAACAGTACATGTTTTTCCCCCTGTTTTACTTCAATGCTTAACTGAGAGGAGAAAATCTTCAGAGGAAAGTCTGAGGAACCACCTGCTGGCTTCAAATGCGTCCGGCGCGCGCCTATTCTCCAGCAGCAACCTGATCTCTGGCTGGTTCATCTGCAGACACAGAGGCAGGTGGCTGCCTGAGAGCTGGCTGCCAACGGAGGTGCCCAAGCCAGAAACGTCATGGACACGAGAGCCACAGAATCCCAGAGCAGCGCCCAGCTGGCCAGGAGGATTCCTGAGGAAGTGTTTCCAGTTACACCAGTACTTTTATTCTCATACCAGTTTTCAACCCCAAACTCATTAGATTAAGGGGAGCTGAGAAGATGATCAATAGTTTTCATTTAACATACTGTATTAAATCTCACCGCATTTAGGATTTTAAATATACAGTGGGGCCTTGACTTACGAGTGTCCCGACTAACGAGTTTTTCGAGATACGAGCCGTCTCTTGGCCGATTTTTTGCTTTGAGTTGCGAGCTAAAATTTGGGTTACGAGCCAGCTTCAGATACCCCACCGCTAGTTGGCGCAGTGAACGTCACAGTGAACGCCACACCATCAGCCCAGCATCACGTGTCTCACTTGTTCACTATTGATCTGACATACGAGTAATCTGAGTTACGAGCTCCGTCACGGAACGAATTAAACTCGTAAGTCAAGGCCCCACTGTATATATCTGCTAAAAATAATTATTTCGTGTAATTTATTTTATTTTGAGATGGGGGGGGGAGAGGGAGAGAGAGAGAGAGAAATGTCAGTTTGTTGTTCCACTTATTTATGTACTCATTGGCTGATTATTTTATTTTATTTTATATTTTTACTAGAGGCCCGGTGCATGGATTTGTGCACCAGTGGGGTCCCTCGGCCTGGCCTGTGGGGATCGGGCCTAAACTGGCTCTCCGACATCCCCTGAGGGGTCCTGGATTGCAAGAGGGGGCAGGCCAGGCGGAGGGACCCCACTGGTGCATGATTGGGGCCGGGGAGGGACCGTGCAAGGGCTCCAGGGCGTGTCCAACCCAACTCGCCCAGTCCTGATCAGGGCCGATTGGGGCCGGCCGGGAGGGACACAGGAGGTTGGCTGGTGGGGGAAGGACCGCGGGAGGGCTCCAGGGCATGTCTGGCCCTTCTCGCCCAGTCCCGATCGGCCGGACCCCAGCAGCAAGCTAACCCACTGGTTGGAGTGTCTGCCCCCTGGTGGTCAATGAGTGTCATAGCGACTGATCGAATGGTCAGACAGCATATTAGGCTTTTATTATATAGGATCGGATTGATTTCAGAGAGGAAGAAGAGGGAGAGAAAGAGAGAGGTAAATATCAATGATGAGAAAGAATCATTGCTTGGCTGCCTCCTGCATGCCCTCTACTGGGGATTGGACCTGCAACCCAGGCATGTGCCCTTGATCAGAATCGAACCTGGGACCTTTCAGTCACAGGCTGACACTCTGTCCACCCAGCCAAACCTGCTTCTTGCATGTGCCCTAACTGGGGACTGAACCCACAACCTTGACATACGGGTAGGATGCTCTAACAAACTGACCTACTGGACCAGGGCCTAAAAAGAATTATTTGAAAAAGTCACTTTACATGGCTACTATTCAAATAAAACATAAAAGATATGGCCAAAGCAGTTTCCTACATTTAAAGAGGCAGAAAGAGAGCTGTGCCATTTCTCTGTGAGTTGCACATTCTGACAGAGAGCTCCTGTTTAGTTCTCTGTACTGAGCCTGTTACACTCACCATGTTTATCTTAACAGCATAGCGGCTCTCCTGAACAGGTGGTTGCAAATCATGCTGCATTTTTTGTGTAACTTGAAGACCTGGCTATTTAAGGCAGTGGTTCTCAACCTTCCTCATGCCACAACCCTTTAACACAGCTCCTCATGTTGTGGTGACCCCCAATTTCATGGTTACACATTGAACATAATTAAAGCATAGTAACTAATCACAAAAACAATATGGAATTACATATGTGTTTTCCGATGGTCTTAGGCGACCCCTGTGAAAGGGTTGTTCGACCCCCAAAGGGGTCGAGACCCACAGGTTGAGAACCGCTGATTTAAGGTCATGGCAAGTATTTTATATGAAATAATCATTTTCTAGATGGACGCTAACTTTAAAGTGTGGATTTCAGAAAAACGGTGTTTGTAATGTTCCTGTGAGCTAGAGGCAAGCAATTTCAGAAACCCAAATTCTGACTTAGGGCAACACGATTATGCCTTCAAACAGGCTGCAACCACTGTTTATCTCCCCTCGCATCCTTTTCATAGACATATTCTCACTGAGGCAAACTTTCAAACTATGAGTCAGGAACACAAACCATTAAGACCAAACATCCAGCCCTCGCCGGTGTGGCTCAGTGGGTAGAGCGTCTGCCTGTGGACTGAAGGGTCCTGGGTTCAATTCCGGTCAAAGGCACATGCCCCGGTTGTGGGCTCGATCCCCAGTGTGGGGTGTGCAGGAGGCAACCAATCAATGATTCTCATCTTTGATGTTTCTATCTCTCTCTCCCTTCCTCTCTGAAATCAATACAAATATATATTAAAAAAAGACTACACAAGCAAAAGGAAGATAGACTACTCAACCTGGAAGTGAGTTTGTGCTCCCCGGGCAGAAGGGAAGGCTGCCCATCGTGTTCTGATTGGGCAGGACTCCCACGGCATATCCGGGCCCTGCAGCCTGCAGGGTGGGAGATGCGATGGAAGGAAAGCCTGCTTGGCCAACCAAGCATTTCCATTGTGTGGCCTAATGCCCTGGACCTTCCCTGGACTGTCCCCAAATCCCAACTGAAGTGACATCACAGGGAAGAAAGAGTTCCTACGTGAGAAAGGCTATGCACCCGACAGAAAAAGCCGCTTTGGCTGCATCATCCACGCTCGCTGCCCCTGCCTCAGGAGAAGCACAGCAGTGAAAGGGTTTGCATCTAATAAGCAAAGAAAAAGCCATTCTTTTCTTTTGAAGTCAAGGAGTTGATTGTTTTTGAAGGGTCGGGCGGGAGAAGAGAAGCACAGTAGTTAGAAATATAAGGTAACTAGCCGGTGTGGCTCAGTGGATAGAGCGTCAGCCTGTGGACTGAAGGGTGCCAGGTTCAATTCCGGCCAAGGGCACATGCCTGGGTTGTGGGCTTGATCCCCAGTAGGGGGCGTGCAGGAGGCAGCTGATTGACAATTCTCTCTCATCATGGATGTTTCTCTCTCTCTCTCCTTCTCCTTTCCTCTCTGAAAAACAAAAAAATACAAGGTAGCCCAACTGGTGTGGCTCAGTGGTTGAGTGTTGACCTAGGAACCAGGAGGTCCCGGGTTCAATTCCCGGTCAGGGCACAGGCCTGGGTTGTGGGCTCCATCCCCAGTGGGGGGCGTGCAGGAGGCAGCCGGTCCAGGATTCTCTCTCATCATTGAAGTTTCCCTCTCCCCTCCTCTCTGAGATCAACACAAATATATTAGAAAAATACAAGGTAAGTTGAAGATGATTTTGTAATTCGTGAGCCTTTTCGAAGTGCAGTGATTAAAACCCCACACTCAAACTCAGCGTATGCGGATTATTCCTTGCCAACCGGGACCATTTCCTCCAGAAAGAAAACGCAGATCGGCCCGTGTGCTTTTCTCTGCACTGCTTTTCTCTGCAACTCGGGGACTTTTGGGAGCTGTGGTCAGGGATGGAAAACAGGTGTCAGCAAGCGAGAGCAATAGAGGAAGAGCGGCTGGAAGAATCCCCAACGCCATGGCAACCGGCGCCGCTCGGTGAAGGCAGCTCACAATCAAGTCTGGCCTGAAGCAGGTGAAAGGAGAACTGAGACCAGAAGGGGACCAGAGAGCAGCCAGGCGCGGCCACAGGGGAGCGGGGAAAGTGAGCGCGGGGAGCCATTTAAGGGAAGCGCGCAGGGCAGGGCTGGGGGTGGGGGGCTTCTGCTGTGTCTGTGGGACTGGCCTTTCTGCCCAATTCTGAGAACTCCCAACTGAGCCCCCGGCCTCCTGGACACAGGCCCCGCCCAGAACAGAAGGTGCCTGTGTGCAGCAGTTTGCATTTAGAGAAGCAGCTGACCTCCAACTTCAGTTATTAGAACTGGGCGTCCGTCGGTCAGAGCCACAGGAGGCAGGACTGCTTGCGGGCCCCACGCCCAGCAGGTGCACTTGGGAGGCTGTTTGGGAGCCCGGAGGGACCAGAGACCCCAACCCCAGCGCCACAGCACTGCAGGCAGGCGAGGGGCCGGGGCTGCATTTTCCTGGCCAAATGGGCCATTTCTTTCTTTTTAAAAAATGTTTTTGAATCCTCACCCGAGGATATTTTCCCATTGATCTTTTTAGGGAGAGTGGAAGAGAGAGGGAGAGACAGAGAGAAACATCGATGTGAGAGAAACATCGATCAGCCGCCTCCTGCACACCCCCCACTGGGGATGTGCCCGCATGTACGAAGGTACACGCCCTTGACCGGAATCGAACCTGGGACCCTTGAGTCCGCAGGCCGACGCTTTATCCACTGAGCCAAACCGGCCAAAGCCAGGGCTCTTTCTAAAGTACTTTTAATTTAGGGGTGAGAGGAAGAAAAGAGAGAAACACTGAAACAGGAAGAGGAATACAAGAGAAGGTGACAGAAAAAAAAGGACTCTGTATTCATCTATAATAAAAAAAGCGTAATATGCTAATTAGACCAGATGTCCTTTCGGACAAAGCTGGGGCTGCGAGGGAAGCCGGTGCCGGCAGCTGGGGAAAGGAAGGCCTACTCTTGCATGAATTTTGTGCACCGGGCCTCTAGTGTGCTAATACATGCCCGTGGGAGGCGAAGCATGGGAAAGATAACATTACGTTATGACCGAGTGTGACCCAGGGCTGTTTCTGTGCCGGGGGCATTGGGCAATGTTGCAGACATTTCTGATGGTTGTAATTGGGGGAAATGCCACTGGCAGTGGTGGGTAGAGGCACAACACACAGGACAGCCTCCAGCAGCAAAGGCACGTCCGCGACAGGTCATGCGACATCATCAAGTCAAATCTAACGCGACACGAGAAAACATTTTACTCAATTATGATGATTTCACAAAGAAACGCCTACTGAGTCAAGAAAGGTAGCATTGCCGAAACCGGTTTGGCTCAGTGGATAGAGCGTCGGCCTGTGGACTGAGGGGTCCCGGGTTCGATTCGGGTCAAGGGCATGTACCTGGGTTGCGGGCACATCCCCAGTGGGGGTGTGCAGGAGGCGGCTGGTCGATGTTTCTCTCTCATCGATGTTTCTAACTTTCTATCTCTCTCCCTTCCTCTCTGTGAAAAATCAATAAAATATATATATTTTTTTTTTTTAAAAAGAAAGGTAGCATTATTCATCAATGAAATGCTAGGAAATCTACTGCTTTGGGATCAGTGCCAAGAATTATGAGAAAGGAGGGGGGAAGCGGGAGAGGGGGCTGGAGGGGACGGGGAGACTAAGAATATTCTTGGCTAGGTGTAGCAAGTGATGAAATAAGCTAAATTTTCTAAAAGGAATGAAACATTGCTCTTCTATTTTCCTTACTGAGTATAAGGAAAGATAACTTAAACTACAAAAAGACAGAATCTACATACACATGAAATCTACATCTGTTCAAGTCGTTGGCTAATATATCTGAATGTGAAGAAAAATAGGCTGCTTTATTGGCAAAAATATTAACACATCGAGTGAAATGTGAACTCATTACCCATGTGACATGTATTGCTATTAAAGTTTTATTATGACCCCTACATTGGAAAACCCCTACAAGGTCCTGAATAAAACTACTTTGGGCTAAATTACCAACACTAATTATTTTAGCAAATCCTGTTGACGTGACCTTGAAAATGTACCCGGAATCTACCTTCTCACCACCTCTACTGCCACCGCTCCGGCACACTCCTGTTTGCTGGCTTCCCCGCTTGAGCCCCTATTCAATGTACTACCAACAAAGCAATGTACACTTGACCTTGAACAGCACAGGTTTGAGCTGCGTGGGTTCACTTCTATGTGGGATTTGTTTTTTCCAATAAATACAGTCGGTCCTCCTGTTTCCACAGGTTTTACATCTGGGGATTCACCCACCACGGATCGAAAACAGTTTGCACTCCCAACCGGCGCTTCCCAACTGTGTATTGAAAAATCTGTTTTCATTCCAGGGTTGGTCGAATCCGTGGATGCAAAGGGCTGACGGGAGAGCCAAGTTATTCTTGGATTTTTAAAATGTATTTTCATTGATGTCAGAGAGGAAGGGAGAGGGAGAGAGAGAGAGAAACATCAGTGATGAGAGAGCATCATGGATCGGCTGTCTCCTGCATGCGCCCCACTGGGGATCGAGCCTGCAACCTGGGCATGTGCCCTTGACCGGAATCAAACCCAGGACCCTTCAGTTTGCAGGCCGACGCTCTATCCACTGCGCAACACTGGCCAGGGCTGACTTCGTCTTTTAATGGCCTTTGACTAATAGAACGCAGGACACGACACAATGCCAACTTGGGGCCAAGGCTTCAAGAGGCCTGGCAACTCGCATTTATGAAGGGCCCACCAGCTCCCAGCTCTTCCAGGCACTTCAGCTGAGATGCCAGAAGAGCGAGTGAGGCCTCCTGGCTACTGGCCTTGCTGGCCCCCAACAGCCTGTGGAACAGAATCAAGGAGGCCCCATCAAGCTCTGTCCAAATGGCACCATTTCTGAGCTAATAAGTGATGGTGGTTGTGTGAAGTCACTAAGTTTTGGTTTGTGTTGATCCCTCCTGACACCATAATAGCTTTCGGGCTCCAGGCACAGTCTTCTGCATAGAGCACACACCCAAACATTTGAATGAATCAATCAGAAGGTAACTGAGAAGGTGTGGTTTTGAATTGCCGTGATATCAAAGGCCATGGCTAAGCAAAAGCTCACTATATTAGCTACCGAAAGTATTACCGTGGAGCACGTTGTCACTCACTATTTATTACATGATGTGATGCTGATATAATTTGCTTTCAAGAACAGAATTCAAAATAAAGTTGCCTGCTGAGCAAAGGCATTTTTGACACAAGGTTATTATATGAGCTAAGAATCTGTTTTACCCATTTAAGTTTTCAAATGGTCATTTTTGTCTGGTATATGTTTTACACACTATATACAAGGAGATATATTTTCCTTTGTGTATATGTACTTATATTCACTAAACACAAAAGAATAACAGGCATGCCACTGCCATTGACAATTTCCCCTTTTATCTCCCCTTGTTTATATAACTGAAGAATACTGTTTACATAATAATACTTACGTATCATTGGGTTGTTCGGTATTGACTGCTGATAAAAACAGTATCATTTTCTTATCACTGCATTTAAAAAGCATGAATAATATTTCACAGCTAATTTTACACTAATGTGGATTTTTTACATTTCTTCAATTTTTCTTTTTAAAAAATATATTTTTAATGATTTCCGAGAGGAAGAAAGAGGGAGAGAGAGATAGAAACATCCATGATGAGAGAATCATGGATGGGCTGCCTCCTGCACGCCCCACACTGGGGATGGAGCCCACAACCCGGGCCTGTGCCCTGACCGGGAATCGAACCCTGACCTCCTGGTTCATAGGTCGACGCTCACCCACTAAGCCACGCCGGCCGGGCTCCAATGATTTCTCATTTGCTATTATAACATGCCACTACATTGTTTGGGAATCGCTTATGCTTTTTCTCAGCTTTTAACCACAAGAGTTTCAGTTAAAATTTCCCAAACACTGTAGAACATTTAAGTCTACTTGATTTTCTTAACCATTAAAATACATGAAGGAAGCCAGGCCCTTGATCATATATTTCGAGAGAAGGAGAGCACGTCTGTGGATGCTGTGGGTTAGAGAGAGAGGCAGTGACAACATACCCGGGCACTGCCGAGCTGGCGTGGCTCAGTGGTTGAGCGTCGACCTATGAATCAGGCAGTCAGGGACGTGCAGGAGGCAGCCGATCCATGATTCTCTCTCCTCATTGATGTTTCTCTCTCTCTCTCCCTCTCCCTGTCTCTCTCTCTCTCTTCCTCCCTCCATCCCTCCCCTGCCTTCCTCTCTGAAATCAATACAAATGTATTTTTTTTATTTAAAAAATATATATTTTATTGATTTTTACAGAGAGGAATGGAGAGGGATAGAGAGTTAGAAACATCGATGAGAGAGAAACATCGATGAGAGAGAAACATCGATGAGAGAGAAATATCGATCAGCCGCCTCCTGCACACGCCCTACTGGGGATGTGCCCGCAACCCAGGTACATGCCCTTGACCGGAATCGAACCCGGGACCCTTCAGTCCGCAGACCAACGCTCCATCCACTGAGCCAAACCAGCCAGGGCTTGTTGGATTTTTTAATTCCTCTCACCATACATGATAGCAAAAGAGGAGTAACAAAATTTTATTATTTTTATTTTTTAAATATATTTTTTTATTGATTTCTGAGAGGAAGGGAGAGGGAGAGAGAGAGAGAGAACCATCCATGATGAGAGAGAATCATGGATGGGCTGCTGCCTGTACACCCCCCACTGGGGACTGAACCCACAACCCAAGCATGTGCCCTTGAGCAGAATCGAATCCGGGACCCTCCAGTCCGTAGGCTGACACTCTATCCACTGAGCCACACCGGCTAGGGCAGGGATAACAAAATTTTAGAACGCATGTGCATTTTAACAAAAGTAAGGAAACGGAAATGATAAAAACTGCTGCTTGAGGAATGACACATGACTCCATATGTAGAAAGCTGCTAAATAAGAAGATGAGAGAAATCATCGGAAACTTAAGTCAGTTTCTCTCCTTACCTTCACATCCCGGTGAATGATGTTGTTATCATGACAGTAGCGCAGGGCTTCCAGGATCTGTCTCATGTAATGACTGCAGAAAAACACAAGAAACATAAAGCTGTAAAACACTTGTCTTTCAAACTGCATACACCCTCGTATTCGCTGCCCATGGAGCCTGGCGTTGGAGTAAACAAGACTGCTGGGGTGTGAGGCCTAATGATGAGAGCTGGCAGACTCCTACGTTTAGGAGCTTTCTGAGGAAATCAGGTGTTCTACCTGTTCTAAGATAGCGAAGTCAAAAGAATGTCACATAGTTCGCAAGGAAAATAGCTTTGCAAACGAAAATTCAAGCTTAAGCCCGGCCGGTGTGGCTCAGTGGTTGGGCATCGTCCTAGGAACCAGGAGGTCAGGGTTCAATTCCCGGTCAGGGCACAGGCCTGGGGTGCGGGCTCGATCCCCAGTGTGGGTTATGCAGGAGGCAGCTGATCTGTGATTCTCTCATCATGGATGTTTCTCTCTCTCTCTCTCTCTCTCTCTCTCTCTCTCTCTCTCTCTTCCTCTCAAATCAATAAAAATACATTTTAAAAGTTGCGTTGTGGTTGGGGCATCCTTGAACACAGCGCTTTGTACTGGGCCTAGGTCCCAGGAAGTCGGACTCCTCGCATGGCCAGCAGGGATCAGCTAAGGCCCCCCCCCCCCCCCGGGCCCAGGAGGTGTTAGCACTTTGCAGAAAGGTCCTTAGAAGGGGGTGACAGGATCCTGCAGCAACAGGTGTGACAGGATGCGAGCACTGGTTCTGAGGACTTGATGCTGCTGTTGAACTGCTGGGCGTGAATATGAGCCGTGGGTGCCGGCACACCCCGCGGGGGGGCCTCCAGATAGTGGGGGGCACTGAGCACAGGCAGGCAGGGATCTGACTCCCCCTCCATTCTGGAGTGCTCTGTCGTCCCAGTATTCTTTCTGAGCGTCTTTTCCACCTTCTCTTCCTCTGCAGTTCACTCCCTTCATATCTTTCTCGTTGCGCCCATTCTCCCTCGCCCTTTCTTATCTTCCCCTTGTCCTTCCCCAACCAGCCAGGACATAGAAATGCAATATCCTCCACATTATTTATTGAATCTCATTCCGTCTTTCCAGATCTGACCTTCCCCATCCTTTAAAAACACAATACTCATACATGACCGTGTGTGTGTGTGTGTGTGTGTGTGTGCTTGTGACTTAAGACAAACAAAATCTCCCCACTCCTGCTTTAAATTTAAAAAGACTTTGCCATCAAGTTCCTGCTTTGGTTGCTACTATCTAGCCAAACTCGGATGGATGTCCCTCTGTTTAGAATCCGCGTTATTTCATGGATTGCAATTGGTCAGAAGATTCCCTTTTTCAAAAGGTAGGAAAACCGACCCAGACTCGGTTCCTATACTTACCGTCTCCTCACAGCAGAGCTAGGCCTGTGCTAACATGTTCCATCTGTCTTACTTTGCAAATGCACACCTACGGGGCTGTGGCCACATGCTCTCTGCCTGGGCCAGGGCAGCCGGCACTGAAGTTTCCATGTGAGCTAGGGGTTCTGAACTTGGGGTTCAAATCAGGCTCTGGGGGGGTCTGTGGCCCCTGAAATGGCAGAAGCCACAAATGTGAAAGTGCTTTGTAAACTTGAAGCCATGCTGCAAAGGCGAAGTCACAATTATTACCACATCGTTATTATTGTTAAATTTAGTCAAAGGTTTAGAAAGAGGATATTTGTGCACCTAGGGGAAGGTGAAACTAGGTAGCGTGGACACAGCTTACACTGCACTGTGGATACTTTGAATATACGGTACTAAGACAGCTGCTCATATCTTTAGCTAAAGAAAATTCCTATCTCAAAGCCTCATTAAAAAAAAACCACCTTATGACCAGCTGGTGTGGCTCAGTGGTTGAGCATCGACCCATAACCCAGGAGGTCATGGTTTGATTCCCGGTCAGGGCACAAGCCCGGGTTGCAGGCTCGATCCCCAGTGTGGGGTGTGCAGGAGGCAGCCACTGACCAATGATTCTCTTTCATCATCCTCTCTCTCTCTCTCTCTCTCTTTTCCTCTCTCTGAAATCAATAAAAACATTTAAAAACATCTCACTGAATGAGCACATTAAAATCTGAATATCGTACATAGCAGAATCTCGGGGTGTGTATGGGGGGGGGATTGCTTTCTCCCCAGAAAAAACAGACTGACACTGCTCTTTCTCCACCCTCCCGGTCATGACCTGGGGTGGCTCTACATATGAATAAAGAGAGAACTGAAATCCACCCACACGTTCTAGAGAGTTCCTGATTAAACCGAATCAGAGAGCTCCAGCTCATGAAGCGTCGTGGCGGCCTGTGCTTTCTGGATGTCATGTCAGCCCCCCAGCTCCCTGGGTTTACAATGGACAGGCGTCCTATTGCAAGCTCCCCTGTGTGTAACCCCACAGACCTCACGCGGAGACCTCACCCCTTCTGGGACACACGTGCGTGTGGGATGCGGCGAGGGGGGACGTGGGAAGCGGCCCTGGAGGCCCAGACCTCCCTGCAAACTTTTTAAACAGGGGGCCAGTTCACTGTCCCTCAGACCGTTGGAGGGCCGGACTAATTCAGTGGTTCTCAGCCTTCCTCATGCCGCGACCCTTTCATACAGCTCCTCATGTTGTGGTGACCCCCAACCATAACATTATTTTCGTGGCTACTTCATCACTGTCATGTTGCTACTGTTATGAATCGTCATGGAAATATCTGATATGCAGGATGTGTTTTCATTGTTACAAATGGAACGTAATGAAAGCATAGTGATTCATCACAAAAACAGTATGGAATTATAGATGTGTTTTCCGATGGTCTTAGGCAGGGGTCCTCAAACTACGGCCCGCGGGCCACATGCAAATACAAATATTGTATTTGTTCCCGTTTTGTTGTTTTACTTCAAAATAAGATATGTGCAGTGTGCATAGGAATTTGTTCATAGTTTTTTTTTAAACTACAGTCCGGCCCTCCAACGGTCTGAGGGACAGTGAACTGGCCCCCTGTTTAAAAAGTGTGAGGACCCCTGGTCTTAGGCGACCCCTGTGAAAGGGCCATTCGATCCCCAAAGGGGTTGTAAGGACTGAACACGGTTTGGGTGGTGCTCCTCTCGAAGCTCAGCCGGGTGGGAAAAGCAACCCTATTGATTTGAGGACTTGGTGCCTCGGCCTTGCAGCTGAGCTTCCCAGCCATGAGTCACAGAATCAAAGGAGAAGGAAGGTTAGAAGTCGTCTCACTTAACACTGTAACCGGAGGGAGGATCTGTGTGCCCTTGTCACCGGGTCACCGAGCCTCCGTAACAGGGAACAGGCCTAATAGTGCGCTCTGAGGCTGCCCCCCCCTTCTGTCATTTTAGGAAGGGCTTTTATAAGTTGAGTCAAACCTCTCTTTTTTGCTGTGTCACTTGCTGGTCCCAAAACTACTCTTTTCTGGTCCATTATGAAAAACTAGAGGCCCGGTGCATGAATTCGTGCACCAGTGGGGTCCCTTGGCCTGGCCTGTGGGATTGGGCCGAAAATGGCTCTCTGACATCCCCTGAGCGGTCCCAGATTGCAAGAGGGTGCAGGCCAGGCCGAGGGACCCCACAGGTGCACAATCAGGGCCGGGGAGGGACACAGGAGGTTGGCCAGTTGGGGAGGGACCACAGGAAGGCTCCAGGGCGTGTCCGGCCCATCTTGCTCAGTCCTGATTGGCCAGACCCTGCCAGCAAGCTAACCTACCGGTTGGAGCATCTGCCCCCTGGTGGTCAGTGAACATCATAGTGAGCAGCTGAGCGGCCTTGATTGGTTGAATGGACAACTGGACGACTGGACACTTAGCATATTAGGCTTTTATTATATAGGATTCCTTTCGTGACATCACTTCAACAGCAAACATGGGTAGATTTTAAAACCAACAGGCTTTCATCTTGATGTGTATAAACTACCCTTTCTATAAATCCTGAGATTGGGAGAGACCGCAAGTCATTTCACTGTATGACATCACCTCCACACACTACTATTCTCCCTATCCTGACATGTAGCCCAGTGACAGGGACAAGCATGAAGTTAAGGAAAAGCCATATGGATGGGCGGGAACAGAGTAAAAGTGGTCCTGGTTTAACGCCAACCCTGCCAACAGATGTGCCAGGGGCCCCGGTGTTATTGTGGCTCAAAAAGGGAAAGGTCGCCTTCCTCCTCGAGCTTTACTATTTTATAAAATCAGCAATCAGAATTTTTAGTTTTTCCTATTTGATGCTGCTGTTGAAAGCTATCAACACGGGAAAGTACAAAAGGCAAGTTGCCTCCGATTCTTGAGAGTTTCACGTAGTCAAATAAAGTGGTTTACCACTATTGCCATAAGAAAAATTAAGATGGTGTTGACTATTTTGGTATTAAAAATGCTTTTGAGTTCCATAGCACAATAAAGAATGCAAATGGAAAGTTATGAAAAGAACGCAAAACAAAGACAAATGGAATTTAAAAAATGCTAGAATGTGCTTGAACGAGCATGGCATAAAAGCCAAGAGGACATTTAGCCTCAGTTCTATCATGAATATACATCAGGAGTATAAGGAAGTAATTATAATTTATATAAACTTCCACTTCCTTCTGGTCCCTAGCTCCAATAGCACAAAACAGCAGCTACCTCAAATTGAGTATATTCTTAATCTTGTGCTATAGCTATGGCTGCTCCATCTTCTGAGACTAGGGCACTTGCTCCTCAGGTAGGAGGAGGCAGAGCAATGAACTTGAAGAAAGTCAAGCCTCTCTGAGCTCCAAGTTGCATTAGGTAGTCTTCTAAGTCAGCGATTTTCAACCCTTTCCATCTGATGGCACACATAAACGAATTACGAAAATTCTGCGGCACATCAAAAAATGTATTTCTTTGCTGATGTGGCCAAAAAATACATATCATTTTGATTCCTTCACACTGGATGGCTACTGTAGTGTTGGCTGTTGTCACTTTTTTATTTGACAATCTAAGGGAAAAGAGATCAGTGCCCCTGATGAAAGAGTCCTGTATTGCATGTTTCAAAAATTCTGGTGGCACGCTGGTTGAAAATCGCTGTTCTAAGCTGTTTCCAGCTATATCCATCCATGATGCCAAAATTATAAAAAGAATAATGGGGGGGGTGTTATGATCATTTAATGGTAACTGTTTCTTAGATGGTGGAAAGTTTTAAAAATCCGAATGAGTGTGAACCCTTCAACATATTATGGTTGGTGCCTGAGGAGGGATGCTGTCCCCTCTTAAGGCAGGTAGCACATGTATTAAAAAGGCAACCCATCAGAGTGGTATTTACAATATGACTGTCACCAAAGCATATAAATTCTTACTCTGAATCTATAAACAAGTGGCCAAGTGCATGGCTCCTGTGATTTTTCATATTTACTCCTTATATTGAACCATTAGTTCTTTACAACAACTTCTCCATGTAGAACAATGGTCGCTATTTGACTGGGATTACCACACACTGGCCTGAAGCAAGTACATTCAACAGAAAAATTGTGCTTTTATTTCTGTTCCTTCTACTGTTCTGTGGTTTTTCTCAGAAGAACTGGTCACATACCAAGTTGCTATCACTAAAAGGCCAACCGAAAAACGAATGAGGCAACATCTGCCAAAACCCTCAAATCAAACATACAAACAAAAAGTTTAACTCCTGAGCTAGCAAATCCCTCCTTGTAGAAAAGTCATCAGAGGGGACGGGGGTGGGGGGACTGGGTGAAAGAAGGGAAGGGATTAAGAAGCACAAATAGGCCGTTGCAAAATAGGAAATACAGTCACTAATACTGTAATAACCATGTGTGGTGCCAGGTGGGTACTGGAAATACCCCAGTATATGACTGTCCACCCACTAAGCTGTACACATGAAACCAATACAAAATAAAATTGAAAGAAAAAAGACATCAGAAATGGGAGAGTTGGCAGTACTGATGTGAAACTATAAACTCTTATCTATATATATAAAAGCCCAGCGACCGAATGGCGGAACGACCAGAACGACCGGCGACCAGTCGCTATGATGCGCACTGATCACCAGGGGGCAGATGCTCAACGCAGGAGCTGCCCCCTGGTGGTCAGTGTGCTCCCACAGTGGGCCGATCCCTGCAGGCCATGCCCCCCACCAGTGCATGAATCCGTGCACGGGGCCTCTAGTTAATAGATAAGTTCACTGTTTGGTCCTTTGCATGTCCAGTCACTATTCGGTTCCACTAACGCACATAAAACACGTATGTCCTTGTAGGAAAGAGTGGCAACATGCTCACCATCAGTTCAAAGAACAGGCCGCCTCATGCGAGTTTTTGCTGTTGTTTTTTGCTTATTTTTTTCTTTTACATTCACCTTGACCTCTGGGAAGTTGATACAAATTACATACCTGGCTACAGCTTCACTGTATACAAAACCAGCATCAGCTCGTTTTACAATTTCAAAGCACAGATCCGCTCCATCCATACTGCAGAGAAAAGGGAAAGAGAGTGTCAGAAAAGAGGAGATTCCAGGATGCAAACACTGAAAGTGAATGCATTGGAACTAAGTTATTAGTTGACTTACAGCTAATGATTGATTGTAATAAATTAGTTAAATCTCTGTTCTTTCAGGGAAAAGAGACATAAATTGTAAAGGACATTATAAGCATCTTAACATTGAAAATCCACAGGGAAAGAAAGAGGAAAACAAGAAAATGGTAGCATCAAATAAGGTCTGAGAAATTCATATAAATTGTCTTTAGATTATCACAACAAGAAGTCTCAGGAAGGGCAATGCTGGGGATTATGGGAATATTTTTGAATCAAATTCTGAAATTATCTGTATCTAGGCAAGTCATGAAATATTCTCAAAATACAAGAATTCTAAAACATTTAGTCATAGTGATCAATACTAGATGGGAAGTCAAGCTATATACTGTGGAAGGAAAAAATAATGAGCTAATCCGTAATTTATTTTTGTTCACACTTCCGTTACCAAAGTTAATTGCTACAAACATATTCTAACACAGTGATGTGTTGGTGACACAGTGTCACTTATCTTACCCCCAAACTTAAAATGGTTCTATATGTCTTATCACATCAGTAAGGCCTCTTGTTATCTTGGCCACATGCTTCTGCATATATTGCTTCTCAAATTCAAAACCCATCTTAATTCAAGGTTCTATTCCCAATCCCACCTTCCCCCAAAAGTCCCCTAAATGATTACTAGCCACATTAAGCCCTTCTTTTGTTTAACTTCTTTAACAGCCCCATATAGCCCATATCATAACATTGAGCACTTCATACAAACATGTGTGTGTGTGTGTGTGTGTGTGTGTGTGTATGGAAGTTTTGCCAGATCATTACATATATAATGAAATTATCCAAATACTAATCGTTAGTTAACATTTTCATACTTTAAGGCTTATAAAGTGTTTTCAAATTCACTTCATTTATTCAGTTGCTCAGGCTCCAATATATCTTTCTGCAGGTATGATACTGAGGAAACAGAACTTCCAGAAGGGAAATTAAAGGAACCAACTACTCATTACTATCACTAATAATTACTAGTGATAATAGTAACTAATCATCACTATGGATACTGCCATTTATCAAGCATCACGGGAAGCACTTCCTTGTTGTATCTCCCTTCATTCTTACAATTACCCCATGAAGCCAGCATCCTTCTCATTCTCAAATCGTTTGTCTGAGTGAGTAGACAAGTGTGTGACAGGGACAGGATTCAAATCCCCATCTATCCATGTTCAACGCTCTCCCATCATCTGGAGTTACACTCACTGGGTGTGCCAGGCCCGCATGTCTCTCCACAGGAGGTCACACAGCCTTGAAGAGAAATTAGTGACCTGAAAGTTACATCAGATCGAAGCAGGGGGACACCAAACCGGGAAAATACAAAGTAAGCGAAAGAAACACAGGACTAGTGACAAGGTCAGTATATATTTTATTGAACTTTCAAAAGTGAAAGGAAAACGAAGCAGGAGTGATATTAAAAATAGAGTGCCTGATAATGACCCCCAAATAATTAAAGATACCAACCCACTTCTTTAAGAAGCCCAACAGACATCCAGCAAGGTAAAAGAAATCTCTAGGGCCCTAGCTGGTTTGGCTCAGTGGATGGAGCGTCGGCCTGTGGACTGGAGGGTCCCAGGTTCGATTCCGGTCAAGGGCATGTGCCTTGGTTGGGGGCACATCCCCAGTAGGGGGTGTGCAGGAGGCAGCTGACCGATGTTTCTAACTCTCTATATCTCTCTCCCTTCCTCTCTGTAAAAAATCAATAAAATATATTTAAAAAAAGAGAAAGAAATCTATAGCTACAGAGTACAGGAGAAAGGAATCTTAGATCAAAATAACTGCCAACCTAAAATTCCGTTTTCACCAAATAACTCTTGAGAAATTCTTTCAGATAAGGAAAGGAAACAAGAGAATTTGCCACCAGCATACCTGCCCCTAAAAAACACACAAAAGAGCAGTCCTCAGGTAGAAGGAAAATACAGTAAAAACTCAGCGATGCAGCAAGTCACGAACAACATGAAATGTGGTAAGTCTGCAGTCACGCACCACTTGATGGGAGTTTGTTCTGAGAAATAAGTTGGTAGGCAATTTCATAATTGTTCGCACATCACAGAGTCCACTTACACAAACCTGGATAACACAGCCGACTCCACACCTCGGCTACAGGCATACCCTTGTGACTGTCGATGAGTGTCAATGAACAATGACTGCATAAAACAACCATTTTTCCTCTCTCTGCAGAGAGAGACCATATAAAACAATAACTACTCTGAGAGAGAGAGAGAAGATTGATTTTAAATAAAAATACTGAACAAGGCCGAAACCGGTTTGGCTCAGTGGATAGAGCGTCGGCTTGCGGACTGAAAGGTCCCAGGTTCGATTCCGGTCAAGGGCATGTACCTGGGTTGCGGGCATATCCCCAGTAGGAGATGTGCAGGAGGCAGCTGATCGATGTTTCTCTCTCATCGATGTTTCTGACTATCTCTCTCCCTTCCTCTCTGTAAAAAATCAATAAAATATATTAAAAAAAAAAACTGAACAAGAACATAAATCAGGAAGCATATTGCTATTTCTAGGACAACCACTGAGTCTTCTAATTTTTTAAAAAAGATGTTTTTATTGATTTCAGAGAGGAAGAGAGAGGGAGAGAGAGAGAAACATCCATGATGAGAGAGAATCATGGATCGGCTGCCTCCTGCACGCCCAACACTGGAGATGGAGCCTGCAACCCGGGCCTGTGCCCCAACCAGGAATCAAACCTGGACCTCCTGGCTCTTAGGTCGACCCTCAACCACTGAGCCACACCGGCCGGGCTCTAACTTTTAAAAAAAAGTCCGGGCCCTTTTCTACTCTTAAGATCATTGAGAGCCCCAAAGGGATTGTGTTTGTGTGGGTTTTAGCTATCGATATTTGCTGTGTTCAAAATTAAAATCCAGAAATGCGAGGACCATTTACTTCGAAACAACAATAATATAGCCATTATACATCAACAGAAATAATGTTTTTCATGAAAAATAAGTCTATATTTCAAAACAAAGTAATTTTGTTTTTATGTACAATAGTCTTTATTGCTTAGCTGTTTGTAAGAGTTAAAAACTTAGAAACAACTAAATGCCCACTAAAAAGGTAAAACGAAATAAATTTAGTGAGAAGAGTAACACTGTTTTGCATTTTGCAATTCTTCTTCACTTCTGGTTTAATAGAAGACAGATTCTCATTTCTGCTTATGCATTCCATTTGTTATTGGGTTGAAGTAAGTGAAGAAAACATGGCCTCAAGTAGACATATAATCAGAAGGAGGCATATTTTCACAGCCCTTGCAGATCTTTGTGAACATTCCTTGACACTACACTAAGACTCAAGAAGTGGTGGTTTCTTTTCTCTTTTTTTTTTTTAAAAAAAACCTTCACCCAAGGATATTTTTTGCATTGATTTTTTTTTTGGAGAGAGTGCTGGGGAAGGAGGAGGAGAAGAAGGAGGGGAGGGAGGGTGAGAGAGAGAGAAACACTGATTTGAGAGAGACACATCGATTGGTTGCCTTCCACATGTGCCCCGACCAGGGCGGGGATAGAGCCTGCAACGGAGGCATCTGCCCTTGACTGAAATCGAACTCAGGACCCTTCAGTGAGCGGGCCGGTACTCTAACCACTGAGCCAACCGGCCAGGGTGGAAGTGGTAGTTTCTTAAAGGCAATTTGCTATGTGGAATCTGAAACCACACCAGTGAACTTTCTGTACTCTGTTACATTATAACCCACTAGTAGCCCTGCGCACGAATCCTGGTGTGAGTAGCTCGCTGCCACTGGTAGCTCTCTGCCCGCTGCCCCGCCCTCCTGTAGCTCTCCGCCACTGTAGGTCGGTTGTGACATTAGGGCGTCCTGGCTAATTTGCATATTCCTCCATTATTATCTTAGATTGTTCTGTCTTGTTCTTTGAATCGGTCTTTTACCTGTGCATGACTTTGTCACATCGTGCCTTACTCATTTGAAAAGTACTGTACTGGTCCACTGAGTTATGCAGATCTTCCAAATACTGACACATCTGATTATGCGCCATCAAAAACCTCGTCTGTTACATCACCACTGAGTGCCTCAGAGACATTCTTTAAGACCCGGGAAGCTGTTACACTCACAGTGCAGATCCAAGTTTTCCAAAATTCTAATTGTCACTTGAAACTTTGAATTTCATCCCTGGCAACAACTACTGTGAGTGGATTCCCTTGAAGCAGCAGGCTCACTTCATCCATTTCTTACTGAATGTGTTCATTTTTTTTGCTGTTAATCCTCACCCGAGGATATTTTTTCCACTGATATTTTAAAGAGTGGGGGTGGGGGGGAAGAGAAAGGGAGGGAGAGAGAGAGAGAAACATCCATGTGAGAGAGACACATCGAATGGTTGCCTCCCACATGTGCTCTGGTTGGGGCAGGGAATCCAACTTACAACCCAGGGACGTGCCCTTGACTGGGAATCAAACCCAAGACCCTTCAGCGAGCTGATGCTCTAACCACTGAGCACACCAGCCAGGCCTAAAAAGTGTTCATTTTATTTTGTTAATTTTTTAAAATATATTTTTATTGATTCTAGAGAAGAAGTGAGAAGGAGAGAGAGATAGAAACATCACTGATGAGAATCATTGATTGGCTGCTTCCTGCACGCCCCCTACTGGGGATCAAGCCCACAACCCGGGCATGTGCCCCTGACTGGAATCAAACCCGGGACCCTTCAGTCCGCAGGCCGACGCTCTATCCACTGAGCCACACCGGCCACGGCAAAATGTATTTATGTTAATTAAATGTCTGCCCCATACTCAAATCAGGGTAACCTGGCTTGTCTGTAGTCACTCTTTCAAGTAAAGACGATGCTGCACACACACACACACACACACACACACACACACACACACTGCTAGTGGAGCTTATAACTTAGTAAATGACATAAGTGCTTTCCTGGGATCC